TCCGGTACCAGGAACCGAACTCACGACCTTGCGCTTGCCAGGCAGGCGCTTTTGCCGCTGAGCTAAATCCCCAGCCCCACCTCTCATTGTCTTGAAGCCAGCTCTCCTGACTGTCCTTGGTCAGGGCATCTCCTCACTGCCAGCCAGGACCCGAGGGGGTGGGCCATGCCCAGTGCAGTGGGGCGGCCACAGTGGCCATCTAGCCATGTACCCTTGTCACCCCTGCTTGGGGGTAGGTGCTGGAAGAGAGGGGCCACCCACCTGGCAGGTGTAGCGTGGTCAGGCCAGGGTCAGTCAGGGCAGGAACGTGCTTCATCTTGACATTGCCACAGGCAATGGCTGCCTGGGCCAGGAGGCAGGAGGCCGGCAGGGAGGGCATGGCCTGCTCCACAGTGCCCAGGCCTGCAAGCCCAGGCCCGTGCCCGCGCCTGCTTCCCAGCCGTTCCCGCCCACAGCCTCCGCTGCGCTCCTTCTGCTGGCGCTTGGCCCCCAGCCCAGGTTGGTAGGAGGTCCCTGGAGGAAGACAGAGGTGGCCCTGGCCTGGTCACAAACAAAAAAGGACCCCTGAGGTGCAGGGCCTTGCCAGTGACAGGCTGGGAAGGACGTGACTTTGCAGGGGTCCCCTCCTGCCCCACACATGAGGGCCCTCGGCTTGTGCACATTGAGAATGGTGCAGGGCCTGAGCAGCTGGTGACACTGCACCTGTCCTGGCTAGTCCTCACCTTTGGGGGGCCTCCTGGCCTTGAGGCCCCTTCGCCTGGCTTCCCGGCCTCCTGCCTGCTTTCCCTCCTGCCTGCCCCACTCTGTGTCCAGCCCCTTGCTCAGCCCCCACTCCTTCCCCAAGGCCAGTGCAGGTGACTTCTTCCTCAGAGCCAGCCCTGGCCTGACAGGTGCCCTCCGGTGGGGGATGGAGGGCTGGCTGGGGGTTCTGGTGGGTCTCTCCTTGGAGGTAGGCCATGCCTGTGGCCAGTCCAGCTGCCCATCCTCAGACCTGTCCAGGCTGCTGGTCCTGGAAATGGGTTGCGCCTGACCTGCAGAGGGAGCCAGTGTGGGTCAGGGTGTCCGGGACGCCCACATGGCAGGGTACTTGGCCTTCTTTTCCCAAGCTATCCTGCCTTCCTCTCAGAAGAGAGGCAGCTCTTTCAGCTGTTGAGTGGTCCTGAAGTCCATTGGGACCAGGCACAGGCTGACCTTGCCAGCTCAGGGGACCTTGGGTCCTGCTTCCCCTCGATTCCCCCAGGGCCCCTGAACACGGGGTCAGGGCATTGCCTCGGCATCCCCCATGTCCTATGGTGAGCAGGGGCCTTGAATGTGCCTCCCACAGACAGTTGCTGGGAGATGGAGGGGCACTGCCGCTTGGCACCATTTGCTTTTGGAGGTGGCCACCCCGTATCAGCTGAGGGGCCAAGTTGTCGGGCGATGGATGAGGCTGGAAGTCACCTTGAGGGGCTGTCAGTGACATCAAAGAAGGGGTGATAACCCTAGGGCCTTCCCTGTCCCTAGAGCCAGCAGCCCCACGGACGGGGTGGGGGCCTGAATCCACCCAACTGCTACCACCTATTGTGCCCCTTGCCCTGGGGTGGAGCCACCAAACACAACACCAGCCTATGAGACAAAGGCCACTCCTTAGTGCTTGTCCAGTAGCCAGTGGACCCCAACCTGTCAGCCACCCCCAGATCCTACATTTCCCGGCCTCCCAGGACCTTCCCTATCCCAGTAGGTTTTGTGGAGACCAGATCAACTCCAGACCCAACAAAGCCTGATCCGGTCTTCCAGCCATCCCGTGGCCTGCTGTTCCAAGGCCTCCCACAGTCTGCAGTCCAGGCAGGGCTCTCTCTGAGGATCTTGGGCCCCTCCCAGCCTGCCTGGGAACCCCAGGTGGGCAGCCTCTAGGGGCTGGCTTTCTCCCCCTCTGCCCAGCCCTGGGGGCACCCTAACAGCAGGCACCAGCTACTCACTGTGGTTGGAGGACCTGGGCGGCAGCTGCAAGGTAGGCAAGCCTGTGGCAGTCGGTGGGGCCGTGGGCCTTCTCAGGGGCAGCCCCTGCTTGGCCAGGGCCCCCCAAGAGCAGCACCCCACCCAAAGAGCCAGGCTGGGGAGCAGCACACTCCTCATGGCCCCTGTGTGCAGGCCGGCAGAGGGCACGAAACACCGGGCGCGGCAAACCGGTGAATGCGGTAGGCTGGGACACAGGACAGCCCTGCTGCCGGAGTTCCTGGCCTTGTCTGCTGTGCTGGGAGCTGCCCGCCCTAGGGAAGACCACCTTCTGCCAACCAAACACCTCCCCAGGCCTTGCCCCCGAGTCCCCTCCAGGGCCTGACGCTTTGCAGCCCCATGATCAGCTTCTCCTGTAAGGCCGGCATTGATTCTCACTGGCCCAGGCCCAGGGGCGCCATGAATGCAGCTCTGTCTCTGTGCCCTGCAGGCCTGTGAGGCCCAACGAGGAGCAGAACGCCCACCACGCAGGTCGCCAGGAGAGGGCCAGGCGCCCGGGCTACCTGGGCAGAACCTGCAAACCTGCCAACTGTGCGGGCCCCTGCCTCAGGCACCCGTGGGAAGTATCCAGCTCTAAGGGGAAGGAAAGCCTGTGGGCAGGGCAAGGGCAGTGAACACGAACTGGTCTGCCTTGGCATGGGGCTGGCTTCTGCCTACTGCTGGGTGGTTCCCGTCCCTCCAGGCTGCTGTTCTCGCCTCTGTAAAATGGGGAGCAGTCTGGATGTCCTGTGGCACCCTCCATTGAAATGTGGTGCGCGTCAGGTCCTACCTGGGCAAGGCTATCTCACAGGTCCCCCTGGACAGCTTGGCCAAGGGTCCAGGTCCTGGATGTGACTAAGTCAGACACTGCCCCAATGCCCCTGTGCCCCCACACACCCTACGGGTCACAGGGGCCCTTGTGGGACAGCATGGCAGGAGGCGGGGCCTGGGGAATGGCCTCTAGGAGGAGATAGGGCAGCAGGTACCAGCTCTCCCAGGCCAAGAAGGGGTTCACGTGGCCCCCAAAACAGCCCTTGTGAGGGTACCCGCAGTCCCTGCTCTGGCAGCTGGCCTGGACACTGACCAGGGCGTCCTGTGGCCCCAGCCCCAAAGCCAGCACTGAGAGCCGAGGGCGGCAGGGGTGGGGACTGGTGTGGGGCACTGAGCTCCCCACACAGCTCCTGGGGCCAGCGCTGAGGAAGCTTTTCCTACAGCTCTGTCCAGTGTTGACTTATGTTTGGACACGATCTGCAAAAATGAGTTAATTGTGGGCAAGGCTTGGGTGGAGGGGAGGCGGGAGAGAGGGTGGGGCTCCCAGCTCCTTCTCCGTCTCCGAGGGCGGCTGGGCCAAGTCAAGGTGGGGGGTGGGCCCTGCCAGGTGCCATCTTGGCAGATCCCTTGGATCTGGGGAGCAGCAGAGGTGCTGTGTGCAGGGAATGGCGGGGAACGCTGTCCTGTAGGAGCCCCCACTCACCCCAGGCAGGGTCCACAGCCACCCCTCCTACCCTTGCATGCAGGGCTCTGGTTTATGACCTGAATTTGGGACAGTGCCACACACAGACTGGAGACAGAGACTGTCTGGGGAATGAACAAATGCCTTGGAAGCCAGGGATGAGGCCACCGTCTAACTGTGCACCCTGTGGGTGACATGGGTGGCCCAGCTCCAGCTTGTGTGTGTGTGTGTGTGTCCTGCTGAAGCTGGGGGAAGGGCGCACTTAGGCACAAGAGGCCTGAGGTGCTCTACGGAGACGGAGATGCCCCCCAACCCTCCCACTGACTTACACAGGAGGAGAGTGGGGGTGGGGCTTGCCCTAGCCACCGCACCTTGTGCCTCCTGTCCAGGCGTCCCCTAAGCAAGGGGCTAGGATTCTGCCTGAAGTGGCTCCGGAGATGCCCGGAGGGGAGCCAGGGCACTGCCCTTCCCCCTGCCCGCCATGGATTCTAGAATCCTGGCCCCCTACCCATTTCCCCTGTTCTTGCCGCTCCCCCCCCCACCGGCGCTGACTAAACATCCTGCCATCTGGTTCCCATTAGCTGGGCTGGGGGTGGGGGGAAGTCTGCTCCCAGGTTTCTCTGGCATAGCCAGCCTGGAGGAGGGAGAGACCCCTGCTCCTGCCCACCTAGGCAGGAAGGGGCAAGGCATGGGGGCTCTCAGTTCCGCGATTCACCCAGCCCCATCCTGGCTGCCCCCTCTGCCGGCTGTGGGGCTTGGCTGTGGAGCAGGGTGGGCACCTGGGAGTGAGTGGCACTCCTGTTGCCTGCTCTGTCCAGTCTCAGGGTGCCCAGCCATCTTGAGGACCTGGAGGAAGCCAAGAGCCAGCCTGTGGGAAGTTCAGCAGAACTCGGGGTTCCCAGCGAGTGTCGGCGCTGTCCTCCTTCTCCCCTTCCCCAAACGCTAAGGAGCAGGACTCTCAGAGCCAGGCAGGGCCCCTGGCCAGCACTGATCCTGAGCCGGTGTCTGCAGTGCAGGATGGGAGGGGCGCTGGGATTTTCCAGGAACCAGGATGAGGCCTGGGGCTTGCTGGAAAGAGCTCTGCCACGGACTGGCTGGCTATGTGATGTACTAGTGAGGCTTCCTTCTCAATATGGTGCTCCTTAGAAAGTTCTAGAATCCTCATATAGGCAACCAGAAGAAGTCGCCCTAGGTGATCGAGGTCGCATCTAGCTGCCCACCCCCTGGACTCTGAGGATCAGGAAGGGACTCCTTCCCCTTCTTCTCCTCCCCCTCCCCTCTATGCAACCCACCCCTCACATGTGCAAGCCCCGAGCTCACACACCCTCTGCACGTCAGGACTCTAGTTGGTAGCTGGAAGGAGGACAAAGCAATACTTTTTGTCCCTCAAGTGTCCTATGAGCTACACAGCTGAGAGCTCCCCTCTCATCAAGGGAGAACTGGATTTTTGGCCCCTGCTGGTGACAACATAGGGACTCCATCAGCAAGAAAGAGGCTGGTCATGGTGGCTAGAGGGAGGGATGCTTTGGTGGAGGATCAGAAGAGGACCATGAGGAAGTGAGCCCGGCAGAGATGTGAATAGAAAAAATGGCCGTGCAAAAAGAACTCCAGTACAGAGCCCTCAAAAAGGAGGGCTGGCCCATGCAAAGGCCCTGAGGCATGAAAGGACTTGGCCCAGTTTTAGTTGTACAATTCAGTACATTATAAAAGGATCCTTGGGCATCAGGGTGGAACACAGAGTCATTGAGGGCACAAGGACAGAGGGAGGGAGCCAGTGTGGCAGCAGTTCAGCTGTCCAGGGGAGAGGTGACAGTGACCGGCCCCAGGTGGCGGGGGTGGAGTAAGGACACGATGGGGTGCATGCACCAGCCACACAGTACCCCATGTTAGGAGCCAGCCTGCAGAATTGGTTATTAGACCACCTGGAAGGTAGTGCTGTGAAAGCACGTGGGCTCAGGGCCAAGGCCAGAGAATCCTGTCCTCTGCCCAGGACCCAGAGCACCTACTATGGGCCTACCACTCACTGGTGCTTCTGCCAGGGCCCTTAGTGGGACAGTGTTTCAGTAGCCTGAGACACACCCTAGGAACTCCCAAGGGAGAGGGAGCAGGCCCATCCTTGAGCTTCCCACATTGAAGGAAGTTTTTTCACCCGGTGCTGGGCCACCGTGTGCCCACGTGGGCAGATGGTTTGGGCTACACGTGTGTGCAGTGAGGCTCCTGTTGGCCAAGGGGCAGCGGCTTTCTCCCTTTCGAGATCTGAAAAGAAAATGGCCCAGCTTTCCGCGCCCCTGTCCTGTTGCCAGCAGCCCTTCCCTAGAGGAAATGCATCTTGTTTTAGCGCCGCGAAGACCTCAGAGGATCTGGTCCCAATTAGAGGGCTCTTCTGGCAGATGCTTTTGGGGGCCCGGAGACAGCAGCCCATTCAGATCTGACACAGCCTAGGGCTTCCGTGCCTGAGACCCAGGGTCCAGAGCAGGAGGGAGAGAAAGCAAGAAGGAAGCATCTACAGGGACAAAGAGGGCTGCGATGAGGTGGAGGGGCACCTCTGGGGCTGCCGGGAGAAGGTAGCCTGCAGAGAGCCACGTGGGCAAAGGCTACCCCGGGCTGCGTGGAGGAGCAGGGATCTTTCCCACTCTCCTTCCAGGCTGCAGTTCCCCTTGTCCCTGCCCAAACTGTGGACTCCACTTGACCTCTTTCAGATGGGCCTCAGGCAGGGGACAGAGCCAGCCAGGCACTGACCTTCAGGCCGGCTGGGGGAGGGGGCTGCTGGGCCAAGGGCGAGCTTGGGCCCCCTCCCCGGTTCAGCAGCCTCGGAGCGGGCATGTTCCTGTGCCAGAACTGGCTCCCGCCTCTCCGGCTTCAGACGCATGTGACTCAGCCCGGCAGCCTTGCCAAGCCGTCTAGACCCGAGAGTCTCCCCGCAGAGGGGCGATCCCGCCGCCGTTTCCTCCACTGACGGCCAGGATGAGAGCAATGGGGCCCCGTCAGGTGGGGGTGGAAGGCCCTGCGCAAATGCTGGCTAGATCCTGGGGGCCCTCAGTGGCGTTAGGTGAGCTGCGCAGCGCGCTTTTGTGGGGACCTGTGGCCAGTATACGTGTGTGCGCAGGTGATAGTGGCACCCCCTTGGCTCTGGGTGCCCCTCAGCTGCGGGGAGTGAGGGTAGGACCCTAAGGCAGGAGAAGGGCAGGAGGGCCATGGGTGCAAGGGTGGTCCTGCCGGGGCTTCTCTGGGGTGCCCTTGCCCCAGTACAGGGACTTGAGAAGACAAGAAGAGGCCTGTGGCAGTGTCCCTACCCTCAAGTACCAGGGACCTCCTAGGCGGACACAGTCTAGGCTCACCAGGCTTCAGCCAGCTCCTAGGTTGGTGGCCTCATCCATCTGGAGCTGGGGCCGGGGGCTGCCAGGTGCCCCCACGCCCATGGCCATGGCAAGCCCACTTCTGTGAGCCCCATAGTGGCGGCTATAGAACCCTCTGGCCTCGTGGGACACCAGCAGTACCCCAGGGCAGGGGAATGACAGCCACATGAGAGAAAGTCAGTGCCTGTCTTGTTCCAGGAACTCTTGGGTCTCAGAGCCCATGCCAAAATTTGGGGTCCCCGCGGCCTTGAGGCGCTTTCCTATTTCGCTCACAAGCCCCCCTTTTCATGTTCCCCACTCCTCCCATCTGCACGAGGAGGGTGCCTTTTTGAGTGGGCTCCTGGTTGGCACAGGAGGTGTGGCCTGGGTCGATGGCTGGCCACCAGCTCAGGGTGGCAGCTCAGGAGCACAGGGGTCCAGAGAGGAGGGGAGAAGGAGCAGTAGGAGGAGCAGGGGAGGGAAGGGAGGAGGGAAGAAGAGAGTGAGGAAGAGGAGGAGGAGGCGGTGACAACCCCCTTTGCTTGGCTTGGGGAGAGGCCTGAACTCTGTGTATCCTCAACCCAACCTCGTTTCCTCCCCAAACCCAGTGCCGGGATAAGCTTCTTGCCCCACATTAGGATTCATACCTAGATGTCGCCCCGAGCCTTATCAGATCATAGGCAGAGCTTTTGGAGGATGCTTGGATACGGGGCTCAGAGCTGACTTGCTGTTAGGAGGCAGGGCCTGGTTGGAAGAGGCGGTTACCAGGGTGTGGCCTGGAAGAGTTTATCTCAGTCTGTAGCTCATCTCTGGACTGTCCGCTTGCTTGCTGCTAAGCCAGGGCCCTCTGCGGCACCGTGCTGCCTTGGAGCCAGCAGACTATGGACCGAAATGTGAGCCAAAATAAACCTCTCCTTCCTTCAACTGTGGGTGTCGGGTATTGTGTCTCATGGATGAGAAAGTGACTAAGACACCACATAATTGAATTCTCCCCCTGAAATCTCCCCCCTTTCTCTCTCCCTCTTGCACATACACACACACACACACACAAACACACTTTCTTCCACTTGCCTTTTCTTCAGAAGCCCACATCTGCTGCTCCCTGTCATTATGGGAGAACTTTTAGGGTGGGGGGGTGGAGCAAGGCCTCCCGGGGCTTCAGCCCCCACCATTCTGGGGCTCACGCATAGGGAGTAGGATGGGTGCAGCAGGAGAGGGACCCCTTGGGTTTTGGCTTCCTCCGATCAGTGTTGTCTACCCAAGAACCCTTGGCTCCAATTCCCGCTGCAGCCTAGGGTCTGCTGCACAAGGCAAACAGGAGCACTCCAAGGCTTTCTCTTGTCCTGATGCCCTTTGAGGCCCTGCCACAGCCCCTTGCTGCGAGGAGGCAGGGAGCCAGCTCTGTGAGCCTACCACATAGACTGAGGGGTCTCATACACCGCCAGCCCATCCCTGGCACCGCAGGGCCCGTGCCTGGCAACTGCTCTCATTTTCCAGCTCACTTGCCAAGCACTGACACGTGGCTAAGGCCCTGGTGGGACTCATAGCCAAGTTTCCCCCATGGTCAGGAGGTTGGCTCGTGTTGCATGTGATGCCCAGTCCTGCCCAAGGCCCCAGTTTCCCCCTGCGACACCTCCTGTAGGTCAAAGGCTCCTTCAGCCCCCCAGGCCTCCCTCACAGTCTCTGGGCAGGAATGTCCCTTAACAATCTGCCCGATCCCTCCTGCCTTGCGGAGACTCACCCCTCCATAGCCCTACCCACTTCCCTGGGCTTACACACTTCCCAAGATGGAGAGCTCCCTCCCACTTCAAACAGCCAGCTGGTGTTTAGACAGTGCTTTCTGCGAGAAGTGCTTCCTTGTGTTGAGCTTGAGTCTATGTTTCCAGAAGCTTCTACCACTGGGCCTCTTGGTTTCTCCTCCCTGAGAGGCCCATCATCCCCTGCAGCCCACCCTAGCCTCTAGAATTTCCAGCGTAGGATGCCTGGGAGGTGCCAGGACTTGGGGTGTGCAGGCAGGGAGGCTGCAGCCTGCTGCTGGTCTTCAGTAGCGGCCTCTAAGATCTGGGGGTGGGCCAACAGCTCCTCCATGCAAGGGCATGGCCCCCACAACCTCTCCAGACACTGTTTGCCCCTTGTGGCCCTGCCAGCCCCTCTGTGCCCCACCTCATGCCATATACAGAGCTGCTGAGTTGGGGGAAAGAGTGCTTAGTATACTGGCTCCTTGGAACTGGGTGGAGAAGTGGGATTTTCTTCCAGAATACACAGGGGCTGGTTTCTTCTCCCTCCTCAGGAGCAGAAGATATGGGGGGAGGCAGCCACACTGTCGTGGTTTCTCCCGCCAAATTTCCTAGTCCTAGGAAAGATCCACAAAAAAACCCACAAGAATTTGAATGTCTGAGTTGGGGCTGTGACTGAAATGAAATTTTCTACAAAGAAAGGAGGAAAAACAACAAGACATAGAGTAAAAACAAAACCCCAGCAGCCATCCAAAGCACCTTCTAGTCTCTGTCTTCCAGCAGGGCTCAAGGCAGCTGCTGCACAGAGGGTAGAAAGGGGCCTTCCTCTCTGCAGCTCCCTTCAGCTCAACTTTGGAGACTCCATGACCTCAGTAGAGACTGAAATTCCAAACCTTTCCATGAAGAACCCGACCCTGCCCCCTCCAGCTGGGCCTGTGTCAGGGCCCCCTAAGGCCTGGCTGAGTCCCTTCCTGTTAGCCCCAGATTCCTGCCCATGTCTGCCTCCCAGGACCCATCGGAGCCCCCCTCCTGTCAACTGGACGACTTTGGCTGCCCCTCGCCTCCAGGAGGTGGTGGGCAGCGCAGGGAGGAGGGGCAGGGAGAGACCGCCTCCCATAGCTCGTTCCCGTCTTGTCCAATCAGCGGGGCCTATGGTTGGGGGCATTGGAGTTGTGGACGGAGCAGGATTCAGCTACAGGGCCACCGCGGCCAGAGCTGGGCTGGGCGAGGAGCGGGGCACAGTGTGCAGCGTGACAGAAGTGAACATTTAATGGTGCTTTTCACCTAACAGCACTGTCCCAGGCATCTCATAGGAACTGTCACCTCGACCCGGGGAGATAGGTGCTCTCACGGCCTCCATGAGGGGAACGCAAGGAGGCATGGAGAATTAGGTAGCTGGTCCAGTTACACAACTGAAATTCCCTCCAAGCACAGCTGATCGCGGGAGAGAGACAGCTCCGCGCTGAGGTGGGGCAGGGCAGGAGCGCCCCCTCCCGGAGGAGCCTCTCCTCTCTGCGGCGGTCTTGCCCCCTGTTTCACCGCCAGCGCGGCCGGGACAGAGAACCAGCCCCGCCGGCCGCTTCCCAGCCCCCCCGCCTCCCCGCCTCCCGTCAGCGGCGCGGACAGCCCTGCGGGTGGTGCCCCGGCGCGTGCGCGGGCCGCCAGGCCGAGCCGCTGTCCAATCGGAAGGCACAGTGCGGGCGAGGGGGCCGCACCGCCCGGGGAGCTCGGTCCCGCCCAGCCGCGCGTCAGCGAGGGCGAGGGAAAGAGCATAAAACTGGCGTGTGATTGGCGGACGGGCGGGCGAGTGAGGACTGGGAGTGGGCGGGGCCCGGTTCCAAGCGCGAAAGATGGCCGAGGTGAACGCTGTCCTCGCGCTCGGCTCTCCCGGCGACTTCTGTGAAGACGAGGGTGACAACCGTGTGTTCAAGGCGGCCTTGGAAGTGTTCGGGAAGCTGAAGGTGCCGTGGGCTCAGGGGCCCACCCAGAGGGCTGGGGGGTGGGCAGGGTCCTGTCTGAGACACTCACAGGCTGGCGGCGCAGACCGGCGACGCCACGCTGCCATTGTCGTGGATCCTGGCCGTACCCTCTTGCCTTGTCGCAGGCCGCATCCGCCGTCTCCCCTCCCCCGTGTCCTCTGCCCTCTGCCCCGCTGCCCCCAAGCTCGGTGGCCTCTTTCCCTTTTGCTCCACGTAGAGACCGGGTCTGAATCTCTGTAGCCTCTGCTGCCGCCAGAGCCGAGGGGTCCACTAAAAGCAGCGGGCAGCAGACCACGGGGCGTGTGGGGGTGAGGATGAGGAACCTCAGCTTGGCACGATGGATGGAAAGCCAGAGGGGTGCTGCAGCGGGCACCCTGCTCTGGCTGGGGGGAAACGTGTGCACAGGCAGGGGTCCTGGGCATTCCCTGGCAGAGTGGCATTGTGAGCCTGCAGTGACCGGCTTCCTAATTAAGCTTTTCTTGGCTTAGGACCTGAACTGCCCCTTGCTGGAGGGTCTGTACATCACAGACCCAAACACCATCCATGAGCTGCTGTGTACGCCCTCGAAGTACCGCTTGGAGATCCTGGAGTGGATGTGTACACGGTAACACCCGCAGGCTCCGCAGCCCTCAGCCTGCTGGGAGAGCACCTGCTCAGTTAGAGGTGCTGGCCGTGGGGCCACGCAGAGCTAGTCCGCCTGCTACCTTTGCACGCTGGACTGGGCCTCTGCGAGTTCCTCACTCGAACTACAAGTTTGGAGGTTCAGGGCTGGTAGGGATCTGAGAAATGTTCCATTTCAGTGTTTCTCTGACCAGAGAACCAAGGGTCAGCTGTAGTGACATGCTTCTTGGATCTTGTGGCAGAGGGTGGTCCACAGGGCTCCGGCCTGGCCCTCAGCTCGCCAGGCGGCCCTCCCGTGGCAGCAGTTGCCAGCACCTGTGCCATGACCCTGCTTCCCAGTGCTTGCGGTCAGGGCGGCAGAGCGTGTGTCCCGTCCGAATGTGCGTGCTGGAAGCGAGGCCTGCACGTGAGGCAAAGGGAGAGCTCCGGACGCCCTACGGAATGTCTGCTCTTTGGGAACAGCCTGTCCCTGAACTGAGCATCCCCAAGGGCTGAAGGCTGCTAGGGACAGAGGGGCACCAGGGGCCAGTTCCTCAGGCCTGAGCGCTTCAGGGAGCTGCAGCGTTCTTTTCCCTTGTGGGCAGCTAGCTTTCTTTTTTCTTGGGAGAAGAATTTTCTTTTCAGTATTCATGTTTCTGAAGTATTTTTCCCTAATAATGAGATGAAAGATGAAATAAAATGTACCTGACATGAAATAAGCCATTTAAAAGTGACATTTGGTGACATTTAGCACCTGTACAGTAAGCCCCTCTAGGTTGTGGTGGAGGGCTCTCTGCCTGCCTTAGCCTCACAAGCTTTGCTGTTTCCCTGCAGGGTCTGTCCCTCCATGCAGGACAAGTTCAGCTCCCTGAAAGGGGCCCCAGTGGAGGCTAAGATCCAAGGTAGGGTGGATGCGACGTGGGGACGTTCTGGGCAGTCCTGAGCTCTGGCGCAGCCTTCCTGCCAAGCTGGGGTGCGCTTTGCATCGGCTGGTGCTTTCTCTTGGGTGGAGCACCCCCGTGCATGTGCCTAGATGCTTTTAGCATCTGGGCCTCCCCAGGTGCGGAAGTTGGGGGAGCACTCACGAACACCAAGAATATGCAGGTGCACTGTGGTGCTGTGGGTGGGGTAGCCATTCCTGCAGGTGGCCTGTCTCCTTGGTGTATGCACGCACCCACGGCATAGCTAGGCGTGCTCTGGCTGCTCTCCACGGGGCTTTCGTGTAACTTTTTTTTTTCCTTAAATCGTTTCTTGTTAGAAAGTATCTCACACCTGGTAATGAAAATTAGACAAAGGCCTCGGGCACAGTGGCGCACACCTGTAGTCCCAGCTACTCAGGAGGCTGAGGAAAGACGATGGAAAGTTGGAGCCCAGCCTGGGCAACTGAGTGGCTTAGTGAGACCCTGTCTCAAAATAAAAAATAAAAGCGGGACTGGGGATGGAGCTCCGTGCCAAGGCCCTGGATTCAATCTCCAGTGCTCTAAACAAAGCAAAGCAAAGCAAAACAGAACAAAAGAAAAATCCCTTTAGGCCCTGTCAAGTGTAAGTGGTGGTTTCCATTACCAGGTCTCTGAGAGGCTGGCACCCCTATTGGAAGTCGAAGTTGAAGTTGCATGTATGCAACAGCAAAGTGGGCACCCTGTGGTTTTCCAGCAAGGAAACCAAGGCCTGGAGAAGGGGCAGTGACAGAGGGCAGGTCACACAGGAGGAGGCAGCCCTAGCACCTGGGCATGACTCCCACGCGCCTCTGTGTGCACTAGCTCTTCCGTGTCCAGCCTGGCCCCACAGCACCCTGCATGTGGTCAGGTCTGGGTTTGTGGTCAGGGTTCTTCTCCATTTGGGTGGGTGTCTGCAGTAACAGGGTCTTTGTGCTCTGACAGAGATGGTGAAACTAGGCCACGAGCTGATGCTGTGTGCACCCGATGACCAGGAGCTGGTTAAGGTAAGAGAGGGTTCTCACCTGTCCCCACAGGGGCCGCGCATGCTTTCTGGCCTGGGCCGGAGTCTGCAGCGCTGGTGTGGGGATGGCAGATTTTCAGCCCTGGTGCCTTTGAAGTTCTTACCACCTGGGCAAGTCATTTCTCTGGGTAGCCTTGGGGAAGGGACAGCTAGGCGTCTCCCACGTTTACAGACTGGCCATTCCTTGGGCCCAGCAGGGAGGGCAGGGGTAGAGGAGGAGGCCCAGCTTTGGCTTTTGATGACCAAAGGAGCAGAGAGTGTCCTGCCTTCCCTGGATGACATCACCCTTGCCCAGCACTATCGTAGGTACTTTATGGACCCATCATTGTCCAACGCCCCCCTGGCAGTCTTAACCCCGTTTCAGGGTGCTCACTAGAAGTTGCATAGTGGCCAGGCCAGGCCTCCAAGCTGAGCTCTGCAGCAGTGTCACCTTTTGAGGGGTCACTGAGCTCTTCCAAAATAGGTAAGCTCTATGCTGCCATTGGGTCCACCTAGTGAGAGTTTTTGTTCTTTCAAATGATCTTAAATTTCAGAGCAGTTTAGCTTGTCAGCAAATTTGAAGCCAAAGTACAGAGACTTCCCACATACTTCCTACCTCCCACCAAGACTGCCTCCCTGCTGTGGGAATTCTGCCCCAGGGCTGCACATTTGTTATAGCCGATGGGCAACATTGACACATCCTTTTTAACCCAGGCCCCCTGCAGCCTCGCCAAAATTGCTACCTGGTTGTTATTTTTTGTTACTTTGCTGATGTTTTTTCTACTTTATCTTCTTTTCTGGGTTCATAGTTGCCTATTGGAGCATTTTTAGGAAGGCTGCTCTGAAATCTTTGTCACATCACTCCAGCATCTGTTGATGTTTCTTCCCATGCAAGTTGCATGCTTTGTGGTTTTTCGTGTGCCAAGTAATTTGGGATTGCTTCCTGGTCACTGTGGCCCTCTGACTCTGGACCTTGCGCGCTTGCTTGGAGCGTGGTGGCAAAGTGTTCTCGCGGCCACTGAGCCTGCTGAGGTTTAGGCAGTGAGTCCAGCGCTCCTTGCTTGCAAGTGCTTCCTGTTTGTGTGCTCAGCTGCTTTTGGGCCCCCTGCATGCACCACCCAGTAGTTGACCTTCTACCTGGGCCTTGGCCTCTCCATGGCTTCGTAACTGACTAGGCTGCTTGTGCCAGAATTTGATTGGGCCAAGTGGTCCCTGGGCTGATACTAGGCTGTCACAGACAGATCCTTGGGGCCACCTTCCCAGCTCTCTGACACTTTGTAGTTCTGTCTGCCAGCCACACACTGCCCACTTCCGTGGCCCCATGCTGTGCCCCCCCTACCCCTGGGCCCCGTGGAGATGAAGTTGTGCTCCTGCGGCTTTTTCCCCTGGCTGCTTTGTTTTTTTTTTTTTTTTTTAATTTTTTGCCTTTTTGAGACAGGGTCTCGCTATGCAGTTTAGGCTGGCCTTGAGCTCACTTTGTAGCCCAGGCTGGTCTCAAACTTGCAACAACCTACCTGCCTCAGCCTCTGAAGTGCTGAGTCCCTCGCTGCTTTTATTGCCGGGCTCTGAGCAAACAGAAGAGTCCAGGGGATCCCCTCATTTTCTCTGCACCTTCTCTTTTCTGTTCCTTGAAGCAGAACTCAACTAGAGGGTCGGTCCTGGAGCTTTCTCTGCTCTGCAGCGCTGCCTTCTGGGCTTCTGTCTGGGCTGAGTTTACTCAGGGCATACTGGAGGGAGAAGCGTGGCAAGCACCCTGCTGGGCCACACAAGCACTAGGGGCTCGGCGTGCCCACCTGTCCACCTGTCCACCTGTCCACCTGTTGGCGTCTGCTGTGCCCTGAGCCTTCTGTGCAGCTCTGGGAGCTGGGGCTTCAGTGGGAGGAAAGGATGCGTGTGTTTCCTCTGGCCCACTTGCAGCTGGACCCCTTCCTTACTCTGGGTAGTCTTTTCATATTTTTTATTGTAGTGAAATGCACATAATGTACAATTTACCATTTCAGCTCTTTTTAAGACATTTCCCAGCAGGCTCTGAGAGACTCTGTATATGTTTCACTGTGACGTACACAGAAGGTAAAATCCATCTTTGCCATTTTAGCGTAGTCCTGTGGCATTGAGCATGCTCACGCTGTGCTGCCGTTGTCACCACCTATCTCTAGGCCTTGTTCATCTCACCCTGCTGAAACTAGTCAGTACTGAACTCGTTTTAAAGTGTCAGTTCAGTGGCATTCAGTACACTCCCAGTGATTGCTGATTGTGACTAGTTCCAACACTCTCCCCGCAAAGGAGACCTTGTACCCATCAAGTAGCTACTTCTACTTCCTGTTTCCCATGGGCCCTGGTGGCCTTCCTTTATGGGCTATCCCTGTGTCATCACAGTGGTGTTCTGTACTCTGTGACTTTGAGTGCCCATTGCCTTCTTCCCACAAGGGAGGAAGGAGATAAAGAGCGTTAGGTTTGCTCAAACTCTATTGTCCTAAATTTTAATCAGCAGTATCAGTGTGAGACTCATATAATTTAACATAAGATACATGCATCCGCTTGTCTAGAACAGGGATGCTTGGTTGTAATCAGGCCAGAGGAGGCAGTGTGCAAGCTGGGCCAGGAACATCTTGTCTCAGCAGGGAGGAAGGCAGCCATCTGAGACCTAGGGTGACGTCTGAGGGACTCCAGAGCCAGCTAGTGGGAGGAGCCCTTGATGGCCAAAGAGGGGCTCATGTGGACACCATGGTCATGATGGCTGCTGCAGACTTCAGCTCTTCATTGTACTGAAATCCAGGAGTTTATAAGGATCTTGAAAAAGTCATCATTTGACACCAAAAAGCAACGTGACAAAGGAAAAAATAGGTCAATTGGACTTTATTAAATTTATTTATTTATTTATTTATTTATTTAGTTTTTTTGGTTTTTCTCCGGTACCGGGAACCGAACTCACGACCTTGCGCTTGCCAGGCAGGCGCTTTTGCCGCTGAGCTAAATCCCCAGTCCCAGACTTTATTAAATTTAGACACTAACCTGGGTGTGGTGGTGCACACCTATAATCCCAGCACCTGGGAGGCTGAGGCAGGTGGATCACAAGTTTGAGCCCAGCCCGGGCAACTTTGTGATATCTTGTCTCAAAATTTTGTTTAGAAAGGGCTGGGGATGTAGATCAGCACCCTGGGTACAATGCCCAGTACCACAAAGACTAAAATAAAAAGAAAAGAGGAAAAAGGAAACATGTGCATACCGAAACTTATAATAAATGTCAGTAGATATTTTATTGTAATAGCCAAAAAGTGGAAATAACCCAGATGTCCCTCAACTGGTGAATGGGTAAACTAATTTTTGATATTCAAGGGTTAATGGCAGGTGTGTGCTGCCAAGGACGTTAAGTGAGGTGAAAGCGGCCAGCAGAGAAGGTCACGGGGTACAGGATTCCCCCTGTAGGAAATGCCCACAGGTGGCCCATCCACAGAGGCAGGAAGGAGCTGGCTGGTTGCCAGGCCTGGGCGGAAGGGACAATAGGGAGCGACTGCTCACGGGGCGGGGGCTTCTTCTCAGGGCATACGGATGTTCTGAGTTGTGACCGGAGTCTGGCTGCGCTGCGCTGCCCTGCCCTTACAACCACCGCACTGTGCGCTTGGGGAAGGGCGAATTGTGTGGTCTGAATTATAGCTCAGCAAACAGCATCGGTACAGCCAGATGAAAAGAGACTGTCTGGAGGACAGCAAGTGGAAAGTCCCTGGGGTGGCAGTGCTTGGTGTCCTCCAGAGACTGCCAGTGGGCACATTAGGCTGCGGCCCAAGAAGGGAGCGGTCAGGTCAGTGGAGAGCACGTGAGTCGTGAGACCCTTCGTAGCATAGGGGATTCGCAGGCTGGAGGAGGTGATGGCCATTGAAGAGTCTCCAGGCCCACAACACCAGCTTCCATTAAGTATGGCTGAGGGGGCTGCAGCTGAGGCATGGGGTTTGGGCGAGGCAAGGGTGGCTGTCGTAAGCCCCGCTGGCCAGCTGTGTGGTACCCATGCAGGCCTAGCTGCTAGCTTAAGTGCTGGTGCTGGGGGAGAGGTGAGCAGGCTGGGGGCAGGAGAGGGCATGGAGGAGCCTGGCACAGGTGAGTGCCTCAGTGGATGCCAGCGTGTCCTGCTTGTCTGGCCCTTCGCTGGGAGCAGAGAGGAGACCAACGGGAGGCAGTGTGCAGATGCCTGGCCCGTGTGGGGAGCCCTTGGTGCCTGTCGTGGTTGGGCCCTGGTGATGCGAAAGGGTCCTGGATATTGAGAACTGTGGTATTGCAGAGCTCACAGGGAGAGGTGGACAGGGCGGGGCTTTCCAGGGGAGTCAGCCTGTGAGCACAGCGGGGCCCCAGGCAGGCTTCCCAGGCCATCCTGGGCCCTGGGAACTGGCTCTCTGCTGCAGAGGTGACAGTGGGCAGGAGTGTCCCAGCCTGGGCCCCTGCTCAGAGCTCCGTGAGGTCCCAGGGGAAGTCACTGTTGTGGTTCTGTGTCGCTGGCTCCTGCCTGGACAGTGTCCCCCGTTCAGCCCACAGCTACCCTGTGAGTGTGTCCCAGGGGCAGATCAGCCAATGACAGGCTGAGTTTGTGGAGGTGGACCTGGTTATACAGGCGGAGCTGGGCCTTTGGGGCGTGGCAGCAGCTGCAGCTGGGAGACTCAGCACCCAGGGACAAGGCGACATGCTGTCCCCAAGTCTCCCCCTGCTCAGGGGCTGCGTGTGCCTTTGGGGCCCACTTTTGGAGCAAGGGCTTCTCACAGGGCCTTCTAGAGAGTTGCTGGCGGTGCCAGCTGAGTGACTTCCTTTTGTTGTGTTCTTCTGAGCAGCCTTGTCCGGGCAGGGCCGATGGGAAGGTGAAGTCGAGAGCCGGCAGAGCTGGCCCTCTGATGCCCCTGCTTACACCGGGCTTCCTGGGGTGGTCATTGCTCCTCAGGTTGTGTTGGGCCCTGGGGCCAGTGACTTTCTGGGAAGACCACCCTGAACTTCTGCCTGGGCAGTGGCTCACGAGAATCCCACACACCTAGGCAGTAGGAGACCAGGTCAGCCCTCCAGAGCAGCTGCTTGGAAAGCCAGGGGAACTCCCGACCAGACTTCCGGTCCCCTGCTGCCTAGCAGGCCACCCCGAGGAGCTGTCATGCTAGCTGGGTAGCCTCTGCCGCCCTGGCTGGGCAGGCGATCTGGTAGGGTCAGCCACCATCAGGTCCCTGTGAGCTGTGTTCTGCCATAGCAGGCCCTTCTGTATGCTACATACCCACCCAATGAGCTGTAAATTCCAAAGGGTGCTCACTGGTGTCGATGTGCGTGCCCAAGGTGGGGGCCCAGCAGGGAGTTCTGGTGGCAGTGGTCCCTGAGGTCACAGTCCTCGAGCCAATGGGAGGAAGCTTCCGCGTGGCAGTAGGGAGCTGGGGGCAGTCTGGGCAGGGGACCTGCTTGGAGTCTGGCCACAGATGTGTGTGGCCTTCTCTGCCCAGGGTTGTGCCAGTGCCTGGAAGCAGCTGCAGTTCATGGGCCAGATGCTTGACATCGTGCAGAGCCTGGCTGTTGGATGCTCTGGTTACCCCAGGTAAAGGTCCCAGCCGCGCGCAGGGTGCCCTGGGCTGGCTGTTCTATGTCCTACATGTGGAGCTGGTGAGGGTCTGGGGGTTGGGACACATCTCTAGCTGGGGTCTCACCATCCCCCTCTGGTGGCAGTGGCCACATGCCGGTCCAGGAGCTAGAGATGCAAGCTGAGACAGGACACCTCCATTGTGTGTCCAGGTGGCTGAGGTCCCAGGTCATTGCCTAAGGTTCTGAGCTGTCAGCCCTGGGGGCCTCAGAGAGAGAGCCCAGGCATATTGGAGGAGGGCGAGTACGTAGGTGCCCCTCTGAGAGGCTCTGAAGCAGGCAAAGGCCGGGAGAGATAGTGAGCAGTGGGGTTCTGGCACCCCTCCCTTCTGCCGGCTCTCCTTTATCTCTGGGGTCTTCCACCTGGGACCCCAGGCTTGCCGGGCCAGTGTTCTTGCTGTGATGGTGGGCTTTGGCCTGCATTTGTAGTGTGAAGGAGCACTTCGAGGACACCGCTGAGAAGAATGACGTGTTGCTGGACGAATTCTTCTCTGGCACGAATCTGGAGATGCTTCTGAACCCCAAGTCGGAGCCAGGGCCCCTGGACACGCAACCTGTCCTTCAGAATCAGAGCAATGAGTGTGAAGGGTGGGTGTCCAAGAGGGCTGCGGTTCTGCCCGCTGCTGCTCGCTAGGGTTAGGGTTGGTGCATGCGGCAGACAGCTGCTAGTGCCCCTTCTTTCCATGCAGGGCCGGCCCCTTGGCCCAGTCGGAGCAGGAAAAGGTGGCAGAACTGGCCAGGCAGCTGCAGGAGGGCACAGCCAGGCTGTGGGCACTCAGGACCGAGGTGAGGCTGTTGGCTTCTGGGGTGGTGGGCCTCGGGGCCCAGGCCCCACTCTGAGTCCCGGTGCGGGGATGCCCGTTGTCCTTGCCTGGTGGGCTGTGAGCCTACGGGTTGGTGCTTGCTGTGATGGGAGCCAGGAGGCTCTCCTGGAAGGGAGGGTTAGCCCAAGCACTGTGCTTTTTAGCTCCCGACAGCCCTTGGCAGGCTCTTTCGGGGACAGAGGCTTCGGCCTGTGTGTGCATGGGCAAGCAGGGGCGGAGGTGGCAAGGCTGGAGGCTGCTGCTTGGCCTCCCACCTGCTTGCTAGGTCTTTTCTTATCTTTCAAAATTAAAAGGTTTTTTTAGGGTACATTTGCAAGACATGGTAGTTAGCTTTGTTTGGGGAATTGCTATACGTTCTATATCATCTCTTGATCATTTCTGGTCTGCCCCATCCTCTTTCCTGTTTTTGCCTAGCCTGCCCACTGTATAAGATGTGGGTTGGCCAGGCCGGGAGGCCCGCCACTCTTCCTGTTGGCTTTGCAGAGCTTGGAGCAATACAAGGCTGGGGAGGCTGCAGGTGGCATCGACACCAGCATGCTGGAGCAGAAGCTACGCCTGGTCATCTCCGACTTCCACCAGCTGGTCCTGGCCTTCATCCAAGTCTATGATGACGAGCTGGGGGAGTGCTGCCAGCGCCCGGCCCCCACCCTCCACCCATGTGGCCCCATCATCCAAGCGGTGTACCAGACTCTCGCTTCCTGCAGCCAAGTAAGGACCCTCCTGTCCTCTCCTCTCCCTTTGTGCCCTGTCTACCCCACCCAGAGCTCACAACTGCTTGGGGACCCCAGGGACTAAAGGTCTGGAATGAACTTAGGCTCCCTGAGCCAGTGTGACGTGGCCAGGCTCTGAGCTTTAGGTCTGGGACCCCGGGTGGCTTGCAGCAGACAAATCTCGTGGCTTGGAGGAAGGTGCCTAGGCAGTAGCAGGGAGGAGGGCTGATGGAGATGGTGTCCCCAAGAGATCACTGTGGGGTGTCAGCTGAGCCCAGACCCCAGACCCCAGGCCCTAAAGAGCTCTGTGCATTGCCTGTGTTGGGTTCTACTTGACCCAACATGCACTCCTTACCCTGGCTGCCAGCTCGTGTCCCTAAATTGGCCTCGCTCTGTTTTCACGTCACGCGCAAGCATACCGGGGTGCCTCCTGTCTTGCGTATGACTGAGCGCTGTGGCAGACAGGAAGACACATGTTGTGGGTCTGTGCCCGTGAGCCAGCCCGGGAGAGACAGGGTTACTGTTTGCTTATTTTGTTCTTCTGTGGTTCAGATCCTCAGGGCCAGCTGGGTTTGCTTATGATCACTGTGTTGCCACGTGCACATCCTGACATTGGCTCAAGGGTTCTGTGACGTGGATTTTGTGTTTTTACCAGAAAGGCTCCAAGATGTCCCAAGCTCAGGCTAGCCTATCTGTGACACTCACACAACAGGGACAGTTAGGGCACAGTCATCTCTCCCAGCGCAAAGGCTTTTTCTCTTTGCACATTTTGTTCTGCCCTACCATTTGCTTAGCTTGGGCTGGGACAACACGCAGTGCTGCCATGTCACTAGGCACTGAGGGTTGCCAGGGAGACACGATCGTGCAGCATCTCCAGTGGGCCGGATAAGGAGGACTCGAGTTGTGTTGGCGATGCTCCCGCTGTGCATTCTGCCCCTTGCCTGTCGCTGTCTGAGGGGCCGAATGCCACGTACACGGCGAGAGGGCAGGTGAGAAGAAGGAGGTGCCACCTGCGGGTAAGTGCCACACATGCCCTCCCTCCCTGCCAGCTGTTGCAAGCAGTCGTGGAGGTCACGGATGCCTCTGTGGAGGCCGTGGATGCGGTGGAGAGGCAGGAGAGAGAGCCGATCTGTTGGGACAGCAGGAGCTTCGTGATGAGCCTAGGTGCGTGGTCACAGCAGGTGTCCCAGCATTGCAAAGCGCATTGCCCCCTTGGCTTAGCGCCCGGCCCAGGCGTGGCCTCATCTTTCTATGTCTCATTGGCCCTTGGGGAGCATTTAGGGACTGGTCCCTCGGGTATTCTTCCCATAATTGCTGTTTTCCCTCTCCTGAAAAAATGCTTTCAACAGATTCTAAAAGCAAAACATCCCTGGTAGGAAGTTAGGGTGACTGAGGGATTTGCAGAAGTGAGAACAAAGTGACCCCCACTCCAGCAGCCCAGAGGTGGTTGGTGTTGGTATGATGGTCTGTTTCCTGCTGTTTCTCCTATCGCCATCTTTTATTCCTAAGTGTCATCGTAATATGCATCTGCTTTTCCATGGTGCTCTTTCTCTCGGGCTCATCGGCAGCGTTCCCAGGGCCCTGGTGACATGGTTCGCTCTCGGGCACTATTCCATCTGGGCATCTGCTGCAGTTTGCTTTGGAGTTCCTAGTACTGAGTCTGTAGCTCATCCCGGCTTTTGCTGTTACACATTGGTATGGTGCAGATCTAGACTGTTCCCCAAAAGGCTTACAGGTCCAGAGGCAGGGCATGCAAACCGGACTGGCCGGCGGGCGGGGCGCTGTACTTACCTGGGGACTGATCCTGGGTGAATTCAGGGCTGAGTATGCTCTTGGCAGGCGAGGTCTGGCTGGAAAAGGCGGCTCACTGGGAGTGTGCATTTTAAGGGTGTTTCCCTTCCTGTCCCCCTCCTTCTCTCCGTTTCCTGGCCCCCTGAGGGGAGCAGCTCTGTTCCTCCGGGCGGGTATTCCCGTGATGTTTCTGTCTTGGGGGCAGGCGACCATGGACTGAAAGCGCGAACCAAATCTCTCCTTTAAGTTGTGGGTGCTGGAGATTTTATCTCAGCAACAGGAAAGTGGCCAAGACTTGTGTAATACCATTTCAGGGTTTAAAATAGTGGAAAAGTAGAAACCACCTCAAGTCCTGCATTAGCGGTGCTCAGTAAGTAATGGCTTAGCACGGTGGAATAGTAATCACTGTTTAAAGCATTGGTTATGATGACGTATTATAAAATGTTGAAGGAAAAATGCGGGTTAAGCAGTAAAATGCACAGTATAACCTCACCTTTGTAAGGAAGAAATATGTGGATGAAACCCACAAAGGAAATGAGCCGGCCTGTGAACGTGCGTACTCCCTGCGCGGGAGTCGGAGGGGCTGGGTGTATTCTTTAGCCTTCTCTCTATCTGGTCTTCAGAGGGAGTTCAGAGAGTTCAGCAGTGAGCATGCATCGCTTCGGCTGTTTTGGCCCTTGACAGAGGGACACAGTGAACATGTTGGGACACAACGTGTTTTCCTCATTGCAGATTCCAACCTCGACACGTGTCCCCTCATGTTAGTGAGGCCGCGTGACTAGGCCACATGATTGCCATCTTATTTAGCAGCTCTGGATTTGATCTTTTCAACATTCCCGCTACTGGACTGAGGCAAAATTATTTCTGAACTCACTTTTTTTTTTTTTTTTT